ACGCATTGTTGAAATGATGTCAAGTAATATTCTAATGCTTCACATTTTCCACTCTTTTATAATTGGTAAATAGATGCAAAAACTTGAAGAAGCATGTATTAAGAACTAACATATCCTCCAAGGGAGGAGCTGTATCATTGCTAATTTTGTATTTTAAATAATGAGTTATTTTTATCATTTATTAACTACATACACAAGGGATTCCTTTGGGAGGGCAAATGAGCAACACGAAAGAAAGATATTCCCAGGAATTAGTCGTTAGAACACACCGATTATTTACACTAAAACTAACATATGATAATTTTAATGAAAGATGAAGTGTCAGTATACTGACTCTGTGAGAGAATGAACAAGATCAATCATGGCCGACGATTGCACTTATATAATACTAAAGACAAGAGGTACCGAGGGACTTTGCCCCAGGCCTTGCAGGTTGTTCCCTTCTCCTCCCTGCCTAGGCCTCCCCCACTGTGCTCCCGCAGACCCTGGGGCGGTCAGGAAGCCCCAGCCCGGGCACCCCTGGGTGTTTACTGGGGCTGGGGGAGCTGCCTGAATCTGCGTGTGTGTCTGGTGTCATTCAATCCAGATGTCAACTGGGACGGGAAGAATAACCCAGGACCGGGAACAAACTGGGCCCCCATGATCGATAGGAGTTCTGCTCAGCAAATGTAGGTGACAGCAACTGCAGAGAGAAGGTCCAGACTTTTAAAAGACTCATTTCCCTATTAAGCTGCTTAAAACGAGTCTTCCTGAATCTTCTGCACAATTCCCACTTACCCAGGAAATATTTCTCCTCTAAGTGCTCAAAATCACGTTGGTGTGTGGTGTTGGGCTTTGCCCTGATGAATAAATCTCTGAAACTGGGGGGTAGAGACGCCATCCTGCATGTGCAACAATGTGGATGGACCAGGGGTGTGATGGTCAGTGAAATACGTCCAATGGAGAGAGACAAACACTGTATTTGGGATATGGAGAAGCCAAACAAGCAGGTGAATTAAATAAAAGAGGAACTAATTAAAAAATAGCTAAAAATTGAGACTATCAGAGCAATGAGGGGTTATCAGTGGGATAGGTTAGGAAGGGATGGGCAAATAGGGTGAAAAAGGTCAATTGTGTGTTGGAGGATCTAACTGCACTTTTTGTGGTGAGCTCAGGGTGGAATACACAGGAGTTAATATTTGATGCTGGACACCAGACCCATGTGCTATGTGCAGTGTTACTCCAATAAACAAAGTGTTGTACTCAGAAAATCGAGCTAGGAAGTAAGCTGTCCTGTCTTTGAGGAAACTTATACCCCCCAGGCAGTGGTGGCCACAGCCATTGTTAACCATAGGTTCATGCTAAAGCCCATTTGATAATCAAAGAGACCCAGGAGTTTATAATGAAGAGAAACAAATCCACTATTTTTGAAAATTTTCTCTACTTGCAGATGAATTCAATGAATGTATGTTTTTTTTAAGTTGACAACCATGACGCATTAGGAATGAATGCAAACAAAATATTTCAGTCAACTTTACCATCAAACAAGGAAAAGATGAAACTTCTTCAGATACGTATTCATGGACTAAAGATGTTATAATGAAGGACTGCTGAAGTACATTTTTTAATAGTTCATGTCCTAAAGAGGTGTGACTTTGTAATCTTTGTATGATGATTTCTATTAAACTAAATTTTAAAAATTTCATGTGTAACCTTGTGGTATCAGGATATTAAGCAAACAATAAATGGCAAAGTGAAATGCAAGTGTATTTTCCTTGTGCTTCTTGGCAGAATTTGTCAAACAAAGATGTTGTAAGAACAATCATTCTCCTTATTTTCAAGATTTGAAAAATTTCTTGAATATTACATTTGTGTAAGCCTTTTAGCCTCTCTGTTCTCTATCCTTTTCATAGGTTATTGACTACATTATGTAGAAAAATTATGATACAAATGTATATTAATTAGGAAAACAGTAACACTCTTACTTGTAACTATATAAGCATATTATTATGTATATTAATATTTTTCCTGTGAAAATTAGATCTCAAGCTATATTTCTTTTTTTCTTCAGTTACTTATCTGAATAGAATTATGGCCAGAAATTTGTTTTCTCATTGGCTAAATTGTTGCATCTTATTGTCCCCAAGGACACTGCTCCCACTGATGTCTCTATAGGACTTTGCCAAAATTCAATTCTCATTAGAGTCATTATCATGTGTGCACTTTGGTCACAAAGGGCCCCTTATTCACCCAGATGGTCCTTGCACATCCATAAGAGACAGAGGACAAAGCATCTAAATTCATCGTGTAAAATTTATGTCCTTAGATATCAGGAATTATCTCTGAAACATAAAAATCTCTTTACATTTGTCAAACTTTTAAAAATAATATTTTTTATTCTAGTACTAAGATACAAGGAATTGATTCCCAGCGTTCCAGTGGAAGAGGACAATAACGAGTGTCTGTGTGGAAATCATGAAAGACCCTGCTGTCATGTATGTTCTGAAAGATGTTCTGGAAACATGCAAAGCTCCATGACAGATCATTTATGGACAGACTGACTCTCCTTACACTTTCATTTTCATTTTGAGACTCTCAGGATTGCATAGTCAACTGTAGCCATTTTTCTTGTCTTCCAGGAGAGTAAGGATGTTTGTTTGTCAATTTCAGGGTTTTTATTTAACATTCTAGTTCCTTGGTCTCAGTAAAAAAACCTGACTTCTATGCTTAAAGTTAAAATGATAATAATCTAGATATGGCAGGAAAGGAACTGTTATTTCTGATGTTATTTTGTTCAATGCAAGTAAAATGTTAAGTTATTAGATTCGTTAGAAATATTTGTTGCGATCGTAAGTAAAGATTTAGTTTCTGTTCACTTTTTTTTCTTCATAGAAAGATTAACACCAATCATAGTATATAGTACAAGTTCTTAAGAAAGGAAACTGAATGAGCTCACTAGCATGCTTTGGAACAGAACATTATGATGGACATTTAGTATGAGGCTCTCTAGACATTTTTACAAATCACTATTTTTGTGAAAATATAACCATATTTCTTTCACTATAAATGTCAACTTTGCTCCAATATTGTCATCATAGTTCACTGAGCTAATAAAATGTAAATACTAGTGGAAGTACACTAATAGCAAATACACCTGATTTCATTTGCTTTAACAAAGGCTGCATAATACCTGGATAGAACAGAAGACATGCGTTGGTGATTAGAAAGGAGTGATGTAGGACCTGGGACCTGTATTGAGTTAGGATGTTAGTGAAATCTTGAGAGTGTAAGAAATTTTTTTAATATGTTTTAGAAGTTTCAATTCCAACTGGATTCCATGTAAAGGTTCCAATCACTAGATAACGATGATTATCCTGAATTTAGGGAAGAGAAGAAATAAAACTATCTGAGAATTTTAGTATTAACAGTAGAACTAAAAGTAGTATCATGTTTCAGTTGCTGAAATTTGCATAAGAAGGGGACCATAGGAGAAAAGAGAGACAAAGGTAGTGATGAGTATTCACCCTGTCCCTGATAGAGTTATAGGGATTTTTTGCTCAATAATGTACAACCCATTTTACATGATTTATTCTATTCTTAATTATATCTTTGTTTTAAACAGATAAAAGCAGTGAATTCCACCTTTTGCCAAGAGTAGTCAGGAAATGGCAAATATCAAGTTATAACTTTTGAATCTAATAAAGATGTCTAAGGGTAATTTGAATTTTGAAGACAGAAAATGTAAAGGTTTTTTTTCCCTTACACATATAAATTTGGGAATCATCACAAATATCATAAATACAGTATATCATAATATCATAAATATCATAAATATAGTATATCCCCATAAATTACATCATTTATGGGGATATACTAGGGAGAAAAAGGACAGAATATCCTGGAATATTTCAGGTATACTGACATCATTGAGAAGGAAAAAGGAAAAGAAGTTTTTATAGGCAGATAAAAAATTAAATGAGTAGAGAGAAATTAGGCTATTTGTGGGCCACATGATCAGAGCTTTAGTTTAATAAAGAGTGAAGTGTGTAATGAGTGATGAAAAGTAGGTGGCTTTATTGTCCACAAATTCAGTAGGTCATTCTTTCACTCATTAATCCCTCTCTTGCCAGTAACAAACTCTGTGTGTTTTGCACCAAGGAAAAATGGGTCATCAGAGACAATCTCGCTAAGGCATAAACATTCAAGTAATTGGTCACACATATCTGTCAGCTGATGTTGGTTATAACTGAATTTTGTTTATAGATCCATTGCAGGTTTCATAATGAAAGTGGAATAGAGTCCTCAACTGCTGTGCCAGATGGAGTTACAAATGTCTTGTATCAAAACTATGCTCAGGTTTTTACAACTCACCAGGAAAAAAGATTAAGCTGATCAATGAAACACAGCTAAATTTTACTCAGTAAGTACGGGACAATTCTTGGGGAAAAAAGTATCTCTTAATGTCACCAGTGATTACTGTGGGGAAACAGTCTTATGCTGTGAATTGATCTATTTCAAAGTTTACACGAAAGAGGATATTTTTGAAAATGTGTGAAATGATCCTGTCATTTATACCATATTGTATGCATCCTTAAGAAATTCTGTTATTGTCAAACCACACGTCCTGACTAATAAGCAATTATAACATTGATTTAATATACTAATAATTACTTTTAATGTAGGACATTAAAAAAGAGTCACGAGAGAAGGGATGCTAAAGGTTTTTATCTTGGAAAATTTTGTTTCTGATAGGCAATTTCAAGTGTGATGTGTGCATACACGTAAACTGATTGCCATGTAAATCTCTTTATATGTTTTGCTCATCAATTTGAGATGCAAGATTTCAAACCAATAATTTGACATTTTAAGGAGCCAAGAACATTATATTAAAAGAATATCAAATAAATATATGGCTTGACTTTTCTACCCTAAAACGCTGTGAATAGAATACTCTATTTTTTTTTCGAATCTCATTTCTCCCAGCTTTACACACAGTTTAAGAGGAATTCAGAAATCAAAGAATGAGAAACCACACAGCAATAACCACCTTCATCCTCCTGGGATTAACGGATGACCCACAACTACAGATTCTGATTTTCATATTTCTATTTATCACTTACATGTTGAGCATAATTGGAAACATGATCATCATCCTCCTTATATTAGTGGATTCCAACCTTAAAACTGCAATGTACTATTTTCTCCAGAATTTTTCCTTCTTAGAAATTTCATTTACTTCTGCCTGCATTCCTAGATTCTTGTATAATCTTTCAACAGGTGACAGGAACATTACATATAATGCATGTCTAAGCCAGCTATTTTTAACAGACTTATTTGCAATAACAGAATTTTTCCTCCTGACCATCATGTCCTATGATCGGTACGTGGCCATCTGCAAACCCCTGCACTATGTGACCATCATGAACCGCAGGTTCTGCAAAAGACTTGTCTTCTGCTGTTGGATGACGACTTTGTTGCTGATGCTTCCAGCATTTACTTTGTTTTTGAGTCTGGAATTCTGTGACTCTAATGCCATTGATCATTTTGTCTGCGATGCTAATCCTCTGATGAAGATCTCATGCTCAGATACTTGGCTCATGGAGCAGATGGTCATTGTCTGCTCAGTGTTGATCTTCATAATCACTCTCGTGTGTGTGATTCTGTCCTACGCTTATATCATCAGAACAATTCTGAGGTTTCCTTCATCCCAGCAAAGGAAGAAGGCGTTTTCCACCTGTTCTTCCCACATGATTGTGATTTCCATTTCCTATGGCAGCTGTATCTTTATCTATACCAAGCCTTCAGCAAAAGATGATACTGCCATGAATAAAGGGATTGCACTATTACCTACTTCTATCTCCCCCATGTTGAATCCATTTATTTACACGCTAAGGAACAAACAAGTGATACAAGCCTTTAATGACTTGGTCACGAAATTTTACTCCAATCAAGGAATTAGGGGAATGTTGAAATAGGGGTCCAAAACAATACTTTCTTAAGTTTCAACCCTTTTTTACTTCTTGATCTAATTTCTGCTTATATATAATACAAATATTGAACAAGTCCCTCTGTACTTCTTATGTATTACCCTCTCAGTTTCTTGAAAAAGCCACATGATCACAAAATGTTTACGAATCAGCTATTATCTGCCTGAATATGTCTTTCTCTGCCTTCCTTTATCTACTTAAATGAATAGACACATATGTCCTTTGAGAATGACATTGAGAATAACAATATTCAGATTTCATGAGAATATGGTTGTCCTTTGAAATTGAAGAAATATCCTAATAGTGGTAAAACAGTTACATTTTCTTATGATTTAAAGAATCATTTGGTATAATTTTCAACTTATTGCTTAAAATCTTAAATTTTGATGTTTATCTGATTTTGGTGTTTACAAGCCCAGTGTGGCTGCTCAATTCTGACCCTAGTCCCCAGCACCCCCATCCCCATTAGGCTGCCCTGGGACATGCTAGCAATTGTAAGGCAAGTCACTTACAATGTCACTGGCAGGTAAAGGAGGGCAGAAAGCTCCACCTTTACACTGCGCTTCCCATCCTAACAGCCTGATTCCACTAACATGGCATGATGATCTATGTAAAGATATTCCCAAAGAATTGTTAGACTATGCTGCTAAAAATATTCGTCTGAATAAATTTGAAGGTCTGTTTGTCTTCATTCAAGCCCTCATGAAATTGACAGTGTTCCACTTAGCATATCATTACTAAAGTCCAAAATGGTCCCTGGAATGTAAACTGGTCCAGCCACCATGGCAGCTGTGGAAAACACTAAAAATGGATCAACCATGTGATCCAGCAATTCTACTCTTAGGAATCTAACCAAAGAACACAAAAAGACTAATGTGAAAGGAAACCTGCACTCCTATGTTATTGCAGCACTATTTATAGTAGCCAAGATTGGAAACAACCCAACTGTCCCAAAATAGATGACTGGATCAAAAAGATGTGGTATATATACACAATAGAATACTACTCCCTGATCAATAAAGACAAAATCATGCCATTTATGGACCATAGATGGAACTTGAAAGGATTATGCAAATCAAGTTAAGTCAGGAGAGAGGTAAATATTGGATGTTTTCCCTTATATGTACAGACTATGGAGAAACTGAGCAAAAGGTCATGAAAAAGACAAAACTTGCAAGCTGACCATAGATCTGAGGCATAGAGCATGGGACCAAACAGGGTTTATACAGGAGTCAAAACAGGGGAGGGAAGAACATTTGGGACTTTGGTGATGGATCATAGGTGCTAGGGGTGGGGGAGTATGTGAACTAAACCTGATGTGAGAAATCAAAACAAAAATTAACAATGATATGAGAAAATAAATGAGCCAATTTAATACAAAGGAACAACTAGGACTGTCACACGGAACCTTAGTTCCTGGAAGGGTGCCCCACCCTCCTCCCTCTGTAGGGTCAACCACTAGCCATTGTAAGTGCTTCCCATGTAGAGATCAGGGGGCAATCTATCTCAGCCCAAGGGGGGTCACTCTTGGGTTGCATTCTTAAGAACTAATAAATCGACCCTCAGTCTTCAAAAAAATATGAGTAGTCTTTCTTTGCAATACTGCCTGGCCATGAACATACTAGAAGACCAAGAAATTTGACCTACTAACAGGAAAGTATATTCATCTGGACCCCAAAGTGTAAAAGGACAGGGCATGTGGCAGTTCGATATCAAACACTTTTTTTTTTTTCACACTTTTTGTTCTGAGTAAAAGAGTTGCCAGAATTTTGTTTTCTCATCAGGCCAAGATATTGCATGTTTTTTTTTTTTTTTTTGTGGGACTCTTGCTGGCGGCCGGGGAACAAACTGGTGCTGCAGAGGCTGTGGGCAACCTCGCAGGGCAGCACTCAACCGCTGCGCCACCAGGGGAGGGCCCAGATATTGCATCTTATTGTCCCTAAGGACACTGCTCCCACTGATGTCTCTGTAGATTCTGCCAAAATTCACTTCTCATTAGAGTCATTATTGTGTTTGCACTTTGGTCACAAAGGGCCCTTTGCTCATCCAGATGGTCCTTGCATGTCCATAAAAGACAAATAACAAAGCATCTAAATTCATTATGTAAAATTTATCACTTGAGATATCAGGAATTACCTCTGAAACATAAATATCTCCTTACATTTGTCAAATGTTTAAAATAAGTGTTTTTATTCTAGTACTAAGATACAAGGCACTGACTTCCTGAGTTACAATGGAAGAGAATATTCCACAGGTTCTGTGTGTGGTAATCATGGAGACCTGCTGTCATGTATGTTCTGAAAGATGTTGTGGATATATGTGAAGCTCTGTGACGGGTCATTTATGAACAGATGGACTCTCCTAGCACTTTCATTTTCATTTTGAGACTCTCAGGATTTTATATTCAGCTAAAGCCTTTTTATCTTCCAGGAGAGTAAGTATGTTTTTGTTTGTAAATTTCAGTGTTTTTATCCCACGTTCTCGTCCTTTGGTTTCAGTAAAATACCAGACTTCTAGGTTTAAAATTAAGGTGATAAAATCGAAAAGAGGAGTTATATGTGATGTTATTTTGTTCTATAAATGTAAAATGTAAATGTAAAGTGATTAGATTCATTAGTAATATTTGTTGCACGCATCAATAAGATTAGGTTTGTTTTGTTTTTTCTTTATAGCAAGAGAAGCACCAATCATAGTATATAGTACAGGTCTTAAGAAATGAAACTGAATGATTTCATGAGACTCTTGAAACAGAATAGTGATCTGCCCCCTAGTGTACAATTTTCATAAATGACAATTTCTGCAGACATATAGCTACATTTTCCTTCATTGAAAATGCCACGTTTACCACAATAATGTCACTAGAGTTCACGGAGCTAATTAAAAGTAAATACTGGAAACAAACTAATAGAAAATATACGTGAATTCATTTACTTTATCGAAGCCTGCACAATATCCGAAGACATGCATTGACTAGGAAAGAGCGATGTGGAATCTGGGACATGCAATGAGCTAGGATTTAGAGAAGTCCAGAGGGATTAAGCATTTTCTTAATTTGTTTCAGAAGGTTTAATTCTACTGGGATTCCATGTAAAGGCTCCTACTTATTACATGACAATTATTTCTCCTGTGACCAAGGCTCCTTTGATGAAATGGTCCCTATAAATCACTGTTGTCTGACACCTAGGAGATATTGCTAGTGTCTGCTGTGAGTGTCTTGATAGGCGAAAATGAACCTAAATTGTTCAGGAACCAGAAAAACACACATTCAGGACTTTTGTGAGTGTAAGTAATAGTAAGTACTTAAAAATTTCATATTACACACTAATGATAATTTTAGTACTGGATTCTTTTTCTCTTATCAAGTTGAAAATCCAAACACTTGAATTCTTTACTTAGAAAATATCCCATTTCATTTATGACATATCTATGGTTGAGAAAGAAATGTAAAAATATCTATTGCCTGGTATACAAAATTGTAGAGTCCCTGAACCAGTCTTCATTACTCACAAATGGCAATCATTGAGAGTTATGAAAATTCACCTGTCCAAATACTGGTAAGAAAACCCACTGGCCACCTTGGGTGTTGCTTGCTGTCTGGATACATTAGCATAATTTTTAGAGTAATTTATGGTCACATGGATGAGGAGAAAGAGGAAAATACAGGAGAAAAAGAATTAGGGGTAGATATTTTTATTTTATTTTATTTTATTTTTTGTGAGCTAGGCCTGGGAGGGTGGAACATTTTTTTTTTTTTTAATTTATTTATTTATTTATACAAGCACTGGTATAGTCAGAAGCATGGGAGGGTGAGAGAATTCACCAGAGCCAGAGCAGGGAACAGAACAGGCAGACTGATGAAGTACACTGCTGAGGGGAGCAGCGGGCGGCAGGAGGGGTCTGCGCGCCATGTGGGACCCTCCTCCGGTGGCCGGGGAGCAGCCGGGGATCGAACCAGCACTGCAGAGGCTGCGGGCAGCTTTGCAACCCAGCGCTCAACCGCTGCACCACTGGGGAGGCCGAGGGGGTAGATATTTTAATGTATTATCTGTACCCATTCTGTGTGACTGTCTCATTAGTCATTAAAATATCCATGAATAAGATGTTATTGTGGAAATAAACTAAAGTGAGATAAGGCGGTCAATTTCAGAAGCTGAAAAATGTACTGAATTATCCTTGTTACTATACATCAGTCCACACTAAAAGAGATACTGGTATTCATATTTTTATAATATAAAAAGTTTTATAAAATACCCAGTGTATTTTTATATTAGGTTCAAATAGAAAATCTTTCTAGATGTCATTTAAAGTAGCTTAAAAAAGGTAACATGATCATGGTTGAAAAGACAAATATGAAATCACTGAATATTTTCACAGACTCGAAGGAACACTGAGTGTGTCATGGAACTAAAGTTGCTATTGGAGACACATGGTTCAAAAAATAAAATTTATCGACACTATAATAGTGATGTCATCAAAGCTGCAGGGGTGACAGTAACCAGAAAGGCTGGCCCAACTAGCACCTAAGCTAAAAGCTGAAAGCGGGACAGTGGAGGTGGAGGTTAGAGAGAATCAAGAGATAGCATTAGAGGCAGACAGTCCTGCAAATGTAAAATTTCTCCAGGACAATCTAAGCACAGTCTTTTTGTGAAAACTTATAAGTAGTAAGTTCTAAATCTGTGTCTATCATGAGGATGCAAAATGCTATGAGAATTCAAATGCTTTTTCCTCTCTGTTGTAGAAGCAGCTGACTATTTCCTATTGTTATTTTCCTTGCATACTTTCCTTAGGGGAAGAAACCCAGAAACTTGTCTAATTTTTCCTTACTTTGTTTTGGCACCCTACCAGTGAACATTGGCAGAGGCCCCCCATCATAGACATCTCATGTAGAACCACAAATCTTTTCAGGCTTTCCCCCACCTATATTGTCCACTCTATGCTAAAGAAATTTCATAACGTTCTAAGGTTGAGAAACCTTGTCCTGAACAGGAGCTCAATTGTGAATATAGAGTAATAATCATTTGCTTTTGATTCTGTGGAGCAGTACTGAATGAGACAAGAGCAACAGTGGTACAGGAGAGTGGAATTCCATAATCAGCGTGTGTAATTTGATGAAACTTTGAAAATGCAGATTTCATGTTGTCAGAATGATGATAAATGAATCAATTATATGTCAAATTTTAAACACTAAGTAGACAAGTGGTAGTTAAAGATGCCAAAAGAAAAGGAAAAAGGGTAAAGTCTGAGTCATCTTTTTTTTTTAAACATTTGTTTATTTATACAAGAACTGGGGGACTGGTCAGAGGTGTGGGAGGGTGAGAGAATTCACCAGAGACAAGGGGGCAGAACAGGCAGACGGACCGAAAACACCGCTGAAGGGAGCAGCGGGTGAGGCAGGAGAGGTCTGCGGGTGCCATGTGGGTATCTCCCTGGCTGGCCGGGAATCGAACAGGGGCTGCAGAGGCTGAGGAAGGCTTCACAGCGCTCCGCTCAACCCGCTGTGCCGTCGGGGAGGCCTGAGTAATTTTCATGTTGTAAAGGTGATTAGGGAAAAGGATATCTATAAAGGACAAATCAGAAATAAAAAAATACCAATATAAGGATATCATGGAAGAAACATATCTAGAATATTTAAAGTAGGGTTTATACTATTTTCTAATGCAAAAAAAAAGTCAAATAAAGTGACTATACTTCATTTAATATTTAAAATAATACATAGGAAAAATCTTTTAAAGTACTGGTCTCTCTAGATGCTGTATATTAGAGAGTTAGGAACTAAGGAAATCAGAAATTAGAGAAAATTATGAAAAAAAATTATATTGAAATTAGACCTTCCATTTAATACTTTCATAGATAGTAATAATATCAATGACTTGATAAAGAAGAGAAGGAATGTGTTTTAGTGAGTCAAACAAAACTGAAATCATTAATCAATAAGGATGTCTGTTGTCCACAAATGCAGCAGGATTCTCTCACTAATTAGTCATTCACTTGTGAATAGAAAACTCACTGTGTTTTGCACCAAAAATGAAAATGAGTCATTATCGAAAATGAAGCTAAAGCATAAACATTCTAGTAACTCACGGCACATGTGAATCAGGGGATATTGGTCATGACGAGATGGTGTTCATAGATCATTGTAGGTTTCAACATGGCGGTGGACTAGAGTCCTCAACTGCTGTACTGAATGGAGCATCAGAATATTCCAGGTGTTTACAGCTTATCCAGGGGAAAAATAGTTCAAGCTGATCAATGAAACACAGCTAAATTTTAGTTTCAAAGTATGGGAAAATTCTTGGGAAAAAAATCTTATGCTCACCAGTGATTATTTGTGGGGAACAGTCATAATTGTGAGTGAATCTATTTCAAAGGTTAAATAATAAAGAGTAAATTTTTGAAAATGTTTGAAATGATCCTATCAGTCTTTTGTTTTTTAATTTTTAAATTTATATTTATTTTATCTAATTTTTAATTTTTATGTCATTGTTCATTTTAAACAATATTTGCTTCTCCCCACCCTCTCAGGTGTAGTCCCATAGAATTTCCTTCACATATGCAGGTGTGCACCATCACCTCAGTCCCCTGTGTGCCTCCTTCCCTCCCTCTGCTCCCTCTCACTCCTCCTTCCCTGCAGGATGTCTCTGATTTATAATTGTCTGTTTTTGCTTTGTTGTGTTTTGTCGTTTATTATTTTTTAAAACAATGTTTGCTTCCCCCACCTCAGGAGTAGGCCCCATAGAATTTATACTACATTGTTGCTGAAGGAATCCTGAAGCAATTCTGTTACTGCCAATCCACTGGTCATGACTGATTAGCAATTATAACATTGATTTAATGATACTAATACTTATTTCTAATGTGATAGATTAAAAAACACCCATGAAAGAAGGGAAGCTAGAGGTTGTTTAAATCTTGAAAATTTTGATTTTGATATGCAATTTCCTGTGTGACGTGTGCATGCAGATTATCCAATTGCAAAGTAAAATGTGATTCTCTTCATATTGTGCTGGTAATATTTGAGATCCAAGATTTCAAACCAATCAAGTGTCATTGAAAGAGCTAAAAACATGGTTTTCAAATAGTGTCATTAAGTCAAATATATTACATGGCTTCACTTTTCCAAACTAACATCCTTGTCAAGAGAATATTCTTTCCTGTTCTCACTGTCATTTCTCCCAGTTTTACAAGCAGTTTGAGAGGAATTCAGGAGCCAGGAATGAGAAACCACACAGCGATAACCACCTTCATCCTCCTGGGGTTAACAGATGACCCAGAAATGCAGATTGTGATTTTTGTATTTCTATTAATCGCCTACATGTTGAGTATAACAGGAAACCTGACCATCATCGTCCTTACATTAGTGGATTCCCACCTTAAAACTGCAATGTACTTTTTTCTCCAGAATTTTTCCTTCTTAGAAATTTCATACACTTCTTCCTGCATTCTTAGATTCTTGTACAGTCTATCAACCGGTGATAGGACAATTACCTATAGTGCTTGTCTAACCCAATTATTTTTTATATATGTGATTGCCATAGCACAATTTTTCCTCCTGACCATCATGTCCTATGATCGGTACGTGGCCATCTGCAAACCCCTGCACTATGTGACCATCATGAACCCCAGGTTCTGCAAAACGCTTGTCTTCTGCTGCTGGATGATCGCTTTGTTGCTGATATCCCCACTACTTATTTTGGTATCGGGCCTGGAATTCTGTGACTCCAATGCCATCGACCACTTTGGCTGTGATGCTAATCCTCTGATGAAGATCGCATGCTCAGATACTGGGCGCTTAGAGCAGATGGTTATTGTCTGTGCTGTGGTGACCTTTATCTTGACCCTAGTGTGTGTGATTCTGTCCTATGTTTATATCGTCAGAACAATTCTAAGGTTCCCATCAGCCCAGCAAAGGAAGAAGGCATTTTCCACCTGCTCTTCCCACATGATTGTGCTTTCCCTTTCCTATGGCAGCTGTATCTTCATGTATACCAGACCTTCATCAAAAGATGACATGACCATGAATAAAAGAATTTCATTATTAAATAATTCCATTTCCCCCATGTTGAACCCATTTATTTATACTCTGAGGAACAAACAAGTGATACAAGCCTTTAACGACTTAGTCACAAAATTGTACCCCTGTCAAGGAAGTAGTGGAAAGTTGAAGTAAGGGTCCATGATAATATTTACTTAAGTTTTCTACCCCATTTTACTTAATGTTATAAATTTCTGCTTCTATTTAATACAAATTGCAAACAAATCACTCTGTACTTCTCCTTACGTACTATCTCAGTTTTTTGAAAACTGTCACATGAATTCAAAGTGTTTAAGAATCAGCAATTATCTGCCTGAATATCTCTCTCTCTCTATCTTCCTTTGATAGAGATACTTAAGTGAATAGACACATATCTGCTTTGATGTTGAGAACAATATTCTGATCTCATGAGAATATGGTTGTCCCTTGGAAATTGAAGAAAGATCCTAGTAATGGTAAAACATAGTGACAGTTTCTTACAGCTTGAAAATTTCAGAGTGTTTAGCCAGGTTTTAACATGTTTACATTTTCTATACAAAATTTTGTTTATCTAGGATTCAATTAATATTTCTTTTTTTTTTCAGGTTAGCACTTTTTTTAATTTGTCCTTTTTTTTGAAAAAAGATTTATTTATTTATGCATACAACAGCTGGGACACAGGCCAGCGATGTGGGGGGTTAGAGGATTCACCAGAGGCAGAGTGGGGAATAGAACAGGCAGACTGACTGAAATAAACTGCTGAGGGGAGCAGTGGGCGAGTCAGGAGAGGTCTGCCGCGCCATGTGGGTAGCTCCCACGGGCCGGGGATTGAACTCATGCTGCAGAGGCTGCAGATTGCTTCATAGTGTGGTGCTTAACCCCTTGTGCCACCAATTGAGGAGGCCCTCAATTAATATTTCTTAAAAGGAAAATAAGTTTTAGAATATAAATAGGGTGAATTCTTTCTGTGTGTTCAAAGAACACATAAAATCTTACTGGCATGTACGAAAGAGCGGTTTTCAACTATAAAAAATCATTTAAGAAATGAGCTGCTTTGTTTTTCAGATATAAATTTTCTTCTTTCTTTTTAGGAGTATTTTACTCAGGGGAATGTGGACTGACTCCATTACTTCATGTAATGTTTTTGAATGTGATCGCAAGAAAAAGAAATACTAAACCTTTTTTCTGTTTTAGTTTATGTGTCCTGTGAAATATTCCACTCTAGGTATGTTCTTTTTAACTAATGTTTAAAAAATCCTCTCTATACAAAAAAAATCCTTTCTATACACCAAAATTTTTACCTTCTATATTTTATTAATTTTGTCAGTTTCCATCATTTCACAATGTGTGACTGTACAGAAGTAATTTATTTTTTCTTTGATAGATTTCTACTACTTCTACCAGTGTCTGCTAGTGCAGAGTTTTATTGTAATACTGGCATTGCCTGTGTCTAAAGTTGCTTTGTCATTTATTGTCTAAAAATGACCTCTACTTATGCAATGAGCAGCTACATGAGATTCTATTGTATTTTTATTATCATTTATAAACAGAAAGGGTTTTTTTTTTTTTTTCCTTAGCGGTTATAATACAGTAACGAAAAAAAAAAATCCTGCACATTATGTAGCAAAATGATAATCAAAGAGCAAAGATGTATGTCTTCCCAGTGACTAGCTTTTCAGTATTTTCTTTTGAATTTAATAATATTTGTACTCATGCAATTAATCATGAAATACAGAGGCAAAGACTTAGGTGTTTTTAATAAACGCTGTACCTTTACACACATGTTTTATGCAATAAAATCATTGGTAAATCACTGTTACTTTTGTCGATAATTGACTTAGTTTATATTTTGAAAGAGACTCATATGCAGAATTCCTAAATTCCTGTATCTTTTCTAGAATGATGAACACAATTGGTGCTAGTCTAGTGAATTATGAATGTCCTCACAATCTAGAAAATGTGGGGTCAGAATGGGGGGGTTGCAATTGTATGGGGAATATAAAAATAAAATTTATTATAAAAAAAAGAAATTGAAGAGAAGGAACTTATGGCATAACAAAATTTTAAAGGGATGGTGTATTCTGTGTTTCTCTAATTTTTCCATCTCTTGCTTCTCATGTCATTTTGAATTTATATAATGTATGAATTTGATAGTAAAAATTATACTTGTTTTCTATTGTTCAGATGTTAATTCTTAATATATCCACATGTTGAAATGATATTAAGCAATATTCTAATATTTCACATTTTTTACTCTTTTATAATTGGTAATATTGATGCAAAAACTTGAAGAAATGCATATTAAGAATTATCATATCCTCAAAGGAAGGATTTGTATCATTGTTAATTTTGTATTTTTTAAAAAGTGAGTTATTTTCATCAGTTGGAGGGTAAATGAACAACAGAAAAGAACGATTTTCTCTGTGATTAGTGATTATAACACACCAATTATTTACAATAAAACTAACATATATATAATTTTAATGAAAAAGGAAGTGTCAGTATATCTACAAGAAATAAGGTAATTCAAACTCTGCAAGAGAATGAACAAGATCAATTATGGACCATGACTATTTATTATAATGTTAGAGACAACTTTAATAATGGTATAAAATGGTATAATGGTATAAATGTCACTAATTTGACCACATTGTTTTATTCAGCCAATCTCTGATGAGAGTTTGAAAATGAACCTTTCCTTTTCTATGGCATGATCTACTGCACTCAAAGGTTTTTATTAATGAGGTTCAAAAAGATATAGAGAGACAGGAAGTGTAGGGGAGAGCAGGATTTCAAAATACAGACTCTGATGAAACTCTGAAGTCACCCATCTGCTGGTGGCTAACACCCAGCCAGGCAGGCAGGGCCCACGGCTGAGCAGGTGAGACCCAGAAGCAAAGCCCCAAGAAGAAGGAATCAAAGCATCTCCGGGCAGGAAGTCTAAGCAATTGTTGTGCAGGGCCCAGATTGCTGGGGGAGAGGAAGCATCAAGAGATACCACACCCGCTGAATCCACCAAAAGGCACCATAGTCTGAAGCGAGCCAGATTAGTGCACCTGTCCACGGGTGAGCTGGAAAACGTGAGAGAGTGGCCCTCATGTCTGGTGGTCACAAGCCCAATATGGCCGCTCAGTTCTGCCCCAATTGCCAGCACCTCCACCCCATCAGGCCATCCTGGGATGCAGCAGCTGTGATGCCAGGCTGCTAATGTCAGTGGCATGGAAGGGAGAGTGGAAAACTCCACTTTTGCTGTGAGCCTCCCACCTTACAAATAGTTATTCTTGTCTTTTCAAGATTTGAAATTTTTTTCTCAATAGGCTATGAGGTTTGCGTTAAGCTTCTAGCCTCATGATTCTCATATGGTATAGAGTATACTATGTCGAAAAATTATGAGGCAACTCCAAATTAATGAGGAGAATAGTAATAATTTTATCTATAAATAGGTAAATTATTACTGTGATATATAATATTCATATTTTCCTGTCAAAATTTGTTATCAAATTAGTTACTTATCTGAGTGGAAGAGTTGCCAGAATATCCTTTCTCATCAGGCAAAGTTGTTGCATCTTATTGTCCCCAAGGACACTGCTCCCACTGATGTCCTGTAGGACTTTGCCAAAATTACTTCTCATTAGAGTCATTATCATGTTTGCACTTTGGTCACAAAGGGCCCCAAATTCACCCAGATGGTCCTTGCACATCCATAAAAGACAGAGGACAAAGCATCTTAACTCATAAAAATTTGTCCTGAGATATCAGAAATTATTTTTTTTAAACTTACACAAATCCCCTTATGCTTGTCAAACTTTAAAATAAGTGTTTTGATTCTAGTACTAAGACACAAGGAATTAATTCCCAGCGTTCCAGTGGAAGAGGACATCAAAGAGTGTCTGTGTAGGGAAATCACGGAAGACCCTGTTGTCATGTATGTTCTGAAAGTTGTCGTGGAAACATGCAAAGCTCCATGATGGGCAGTTTATGGACACACGGGTGCCTTACACTTTCATTTTCATCCTGAGACTCTCAGGAGTGTATATTCAACTACAGCCATTTTTTTTTTTTGTCTTCCAGGAGAGTAAGGATTTTTTTTTTTGTTATTTCAGTGTTTTTATTTAACTTTCTAGTTCCTTGGTCTCAGTAAAATACCAGACTTTTATGCTTAAAGTTAAAATGATAATAATCTAGATATTTCAGGAAAATAACTTATTTCTGATGTTATTTTGTTCTATAAAATTAAAATGTTAAGTTATTAAATTCATTAGGAATATTTGTTACAACCATCAGTAAAGATTTAGATCAGTTTTTGTTCACTTTTTTTTCTTCATGGAAAGATTAGCACCAATCATCGTATATAGTATTAGTTCTTAAGAAAGGGAATTGAATGAATTCGGTAACATGTTTTGGAACAGAATATTATGATGGACATTCAGAAACGGTGCTCCCTAAAGTAATTTTCACAAGTGACTATTTTTGCTAAAATATAACCATATATTCTTTTACTATAAATGTCAACTGAACTGCAATATTGTCATCTTAGTTCACTGAGCTAATAAAATGTAAACATTACTGGAAGTGCACTCACAGCAAATACACCTGATTTCATTTGCTTTAACAAAGCCTGCGTAATACCTGGATAGAACAGAAGACATGTGTTGATGATTAGAAAGGAGTGATGTGAAACCTGGGACATGTATTGAGTAAGGATGTTAGTGAAGTCCTGGGGGTTAAGAATTTTCTTAATTTGTTTCAGATGGGATTCCATGTAAAGGCTCTAATTACTACTAAAAGTAGTATCATGTTTCAATGGCTGAAATTTGCATATCCAGGGGATCCCAGGAGAAAAAAAAGAACATTTAGTGTATTAAGTAGTGATGAGTATTTATGCTGTCCCTGATAGTGTGATAGGTATTTTTTGCTCAATAATGTCAATTTTTCAGGACAACCCAAGATTGTACGTATTTATATCTGTGTTTTACACACATAGAAGCAGTGAATTCCACCTTTTGCCAAGAGCACAAAGCAAATGGCAAATACAAAATTACAACTTTTGAGTCTAATAAGGATGTCTAAGGGTAATTTGAATTTTGAAGTCTGAATATGTAAATGTTTTTTCCCTTACACATATAAATTTGGGGATCATCAGTCTATTTGAAATT